AACCCTCAAATACTCTACTGATTCCGGACTCATAAAATCTGACTAATCGAAGCTTCGCAGAGTTGCTCAGTCAAATAAGAGCCCGAAAAAAGAAGGATGGCAACCGTGACCGCATGATATTTCCTCGATACGCAACCATCGCATATTTAAGAGACCTACCACGTCACACGGTATGACGCATTGAGGTTCGGATCCGTCATGGACGGCCTTAGCTAAAGTTTGTGGAGGAAGTGGACAGGGCATCTCTATGGGAATCTTGGGCATGCATACTGAGTAATGACGATCCTGAAACAAATGACAACTAAAGGTCTCGCCTCTGTCACCAAGCTGAGCTCGGTTATGAGCATATCTAACCATGACGAATCTTCTGGGAGACTGGTCGATCCCCCCCACCATTGGGCAATAACCTTGGCCATCCACGGGACCGTATAACTCATTTCGTGGGTATCTGCTCACAGTTATCTCAGCAAAATCATGACTCTCAAAGATGCTTGAGGGACACATTGGTCTATTAGAAGAGTGCTCGACAGTGCTCGTGCTGATCATTAGAGGCCAACTCACTCGAAAGCTTCCACCTCCTGAAGGATCACAGATCCAGTCAGTTGTCCGACGGTCAGGCATCCTAGGATGTAGGTGCATAGCTTGATCGCGGACATTGATGGATACGATAACAATAACAACGTACTATCACACTAGTCTTCGCTGATGCAAGTTTCGAAATAGGACGCGGGGAACGCGTCAGCAAACGCTCGTCGAGATGACGGACGTTCAACAACACAATAAAGAGCTGCGTTAGTCACTAATTCAGAAGCTCAGAATGTCAGGGTGCTACGGCTCAACAAAACAATCAATAGCCGCATCAGTCATCAACGGATCCTGGTTCTTTTAGCGACTAAATGAGCCACCGGAAACACGCCCTTCTGAGGACTACAGCGGAGTTTGCTCACGAGAGTTTGTCACAGATGCATCGGCGTCAGTGACGCCGCGTCGCTGCTGCCGTGGCTCCACTACTAGTGACACCGCCCCGATAGGTCCTCATTGTCAGATGCCGCAGTTAAGCGTTGGTGAGGTGTTATGTATTTTCAGCTCAGCTCCTGTTTATCTCTGTGATCCTGAAATTCCCATTCATCTATTCAATGTGAGGAACTGAAAATGGTTGTGGTTCAACGATTAATGTTACTTGGGGACGGCATCGTGTCACTGTCCCGTTCGTGGAGCGGTTGTCCCTGGGCCACAGTGAATCTAGTGAATGTGATTTCGCTAAGGGTTCTCATTTATGTGTCGAAGTGCAGCTCGGTGATGACTTTCGAGCCAGAACGGTGGGGTCATTGTCACCTCGCTCGGTATCTGAAGCGCAAAGGTGCACGGGGGAGGAGTCCAAGAGGTGCGGAAAATGTTTCTTTCGAAATTCAAGCCCGCGGCATAGTTAAGCACTATAGTCATGTTTGGGAAGTTTCCATACAGAATTTCAGATTGTTGCTCGTAGGCCTACGATGTACTACTTCGAGCTACATCGAAGGTTTTTGGAGTTGAAGAACTCAACATGAAACTCTATAAAAGACCGTTCCACTCCAATCCAACCGGATGATACACGATGCGATGACATACTAAAAGATACACATAATGAATGTCGAACTGACCAGCTTATGAATATGTATGGTCACTACATAAATTGATGACATGAATCATGGGACATTATCTCAGGAATCGAGCCGGAACGAGCGGACGGAGAATCCCCGATCGGTCGTTCTACGAGCTCAAAAAACTCTAGGTTTGAACTCGTGTAGTATCCGCTTGAGCAGTAGTGGCCCCCTTAGTGGTAGAAGCAGCCATTGTGATAGCATGACTAGTCGGGGCCTCAATAGTCGCCCCCTGAACAGTAAGAGCAACTGTTGAAATAGCCTGAACGGTAGAGGCCACAAATTGTGGCCCACAATAGCCCCCGCTTGCGTGGTAGGAACCGCAGTACTGTGAGCCTGAGCTGAAGGAACCATAGTGGTCGGAGCTTGAGTGATCGGGGCCGCCGGTCCGGGCCGGAGTGGTGATTGCTTGAGTAGTCGGAGCGACGGTGGCCACAGATTGACTGGTTGCAGTGACAATGGTTGCTTGGGTGCTGGGTGCCACAGTGGTGGCCGTTAGAGTGGTAAAAGGGACAGTGGTGACTGCTCGAGGTCGGTCCGAGAGTAGTCACTGCTTGGGTGGTCGGTCCGAGATTGGTCACTGCTCGAGTGGTCGGTCCGAGAGTGATCACTGCTCGAGTGGTCGGAGCCAAAGTGGTCACTGCTCGAGCGGTCGGAGGCAGAGTGGTCACTGCTCGAGTGGTCGGAGCCAAAGTGGTCACTGCTCGAGTGGTCGGAGCCAAAGTGGTCACTGCTCGAGTGGTCGGAGCCAAAGTGGTCACTGCTCGAGTGGTCGGAGCGAGAGTAGTTGCCGCTTGAGTGGGAACAGACCTGGGTGGTAACAATCTGAGTGGTAACAATCTGAGTGGTGGGAGCAGGAGTGGAACAGACCTGGGTGTTTGATGACATGGATCGGTGACATCGACGTGATCGAACTAGTGGGAGGGGTCGGGGTTGTGACCGCAGTTGCTGCGGACGATCGGGCCGCAACCTGACCTTCTCTCCCTTGCTCACAACGAATCTCTTGCTAGTTTTCTTCGGTGAGAAACGCATGAGGAAAATGCAAATCGTCGCCAGCAGTAATTAATTTTGTCCTTTCGGAGGAGTGGTCGGCTCCGATATTTGAGGCTACATTTTCCTGTGGGTTACGATTTATGTCGACTAATGGATATCATTCTATAGCTTTCGGACAACTCGGTTCCGATAATCGAGCCGAAGTAAACCGTGAGACTCTCCTCATAGATGGGTTCAGAGGTCTAGTAGCTCCGCTCCATAATGTGTCGATTCGCTCATCTAAAACATCGGCCACAACAAGATGGTTCGACATTCATGCGCTTCGGCTGATTCCAGCATGTAATTTAAACACAACACTTCGTAGAGTGAGATACCAGGTACTGATGAAGACAGCGAAATACTCGAATGTTCGCAGACGAAAATTCGCAGCCACGAGATGCTCCGTCAGCATGAGCGGGGAAAGGATGGTATTCTCAGGATCAAATCCTCTAGTGCTCATGGAAAATCGCATAGTCGCTGCTAGATCACGGAAAATTAAGTCGATGATGGGAAAATTATTGTGATCATTTCAATATGGTATGAGAAGCATGTCTCTACTGGAGAGAGTGAAACACACACAGTTTGTGCGTACCGGTACTGAAACAAGTAGCTTCTTGCTGGCAGTCGGTATCCTGAAATGCAGTAGAAGCTACACAATAGAGATCGCAATGGAGGTTATTCTAAGAGCTCTATGGAAATAGAAGTGCGCCTGTGGCTCCTGAACCCAAAAGACCTATTCCGCTTGCAAACACTCATGAGGATTCGTCGAGATATTTCCAATGAGGCGATCGAGCAACAACTACCGCAGCGTGAGGAGCCAACAAACTAACCTACCGTTTCACACGGGATGAGACACACTGGTATGTTTCCGTCATGCACGGCACTGGCTTTAGCATGAGTAGGGGGACAGCCATTCCAATCAGGGGTAATCGGCATGCATACAGTGTAGTGGGGATCCTGAAAGGGAGAATCAGCCATCCAATGAGTTGCCACACCACGTCGGCAGTTGACCAATGAAACGCTTGTCCCACCTTGTAATATTTAGCGGGGTACTGCTTGATGCTGTTCACCATTGGGCAATCGTTATTGGAAGACACGGGACCGTATAGTTGGTTCGATGGGTATCTGCATACAATCGCTTACCGCTGAGTGGCAAGATCAGAAGCACTTATAAGATCGAGGGACCACTAGAGACATTGTTCATGTTACTCACTTTAGACCTCTCAGGACTACACCCTCATTCAGTTGTCCAATAGCCAAGCATCCGAGAAGGCAGATATACAGCTTCATTGAGGAAGTTGATGGATACCCTGCATAACAATCAGAAATGATTTCTATAGTCCTCACTGTGGGAACTCACCTAATGTGAGAACCTTTCGTTAGCCGCGGCTGTGACGTGAGTTGCAAGAAGAGAATAGCACGCAAACACAGAGCGGGAAGAGTATAGTGCCCGATGGAGAAATGGGGGCGGAATGGTGAATGTACCGCGTCTATATGTCTCGATGCAGACATTTGACATAGAGGTGATCCACAGTTACTCGACCATAGATGGAGAGTCTCCTCAGTAGCGAATTGGACTACAAACTGTTGTTCGAATGGAGGACATGAGCACTGTCTCTTTGTGCGCGTGTACGATCGTGCCAACACACACGCCTCTCCCCTAAAGGCTACAACTTGTAACCAACAAGGGTAGGTGATTGATTGGTCGTAGCCTTCCATTGAGTTCTCATCGTTATGGTTGCTATTATGATGGTTTGACGTTCCATACGTTATGAGAATGACTAGAAACAACAAGCGGTGACAGGGGATAGCCTGAACCGCGTCACTATCGAGAGTTATGCTGCATGTTCCATGTTCTATGTTGATAACTGTATTTATTGGGATTAAACTGCCTTAAACAAGTGAAACCTATTCACATTTTGTCCGAATTGATCCCTGCCAGAAATTCAACTGTGGGAGTTGCGATAGGCTTTGACTGACCAAGTGTTATGAGATACTTCATACAGCGAGGTACACTACTGTACTCCGCATAAGTCTACTTTTCTCGCCAACTTTCATTTTACCTCGATGTCAAATCATTCCCA